CCATAGCCGGTGACTCACGGCAACCCAGCTCCAGGTTGAGCTGTTGTTCAGCATCTTAGCTGTAGAGGGCAGGGTCACTGGCCCTCATATGTGGGATCCGAGCCGGGGCCCTTTGGCGTCCCAAGCCAGCTCTTAACCATCGTGCCCACTCGGCCGGCCCCCCAAAAGATTCTTGATGTTACCAGTCTTCTGTATATGCTTCAGGAGGTCTGTGTATATAAAAGCAAATTCCTACATGTATTTCCCCCATCACCCCATTCCTCCCTTTTCACAAATGGTAGGATAGACTGCATTGTTCTGTTCTGCGTCATGTTTGTTTCATGTCCCAGAATATCTTGGAGATTATTCTAGATCAGTTCATCAAGAGCTTAATTTTTTGTTTAATATTGGATTTAATAAAATTTTCAAGAAGAAAATTTTTCATGCTTGTCCACCTTAAGCTGAAATTTTGTTCCCTTATTTTAAAGGGGAAGTATTTCACCTGTGATCTTTTCCTGTTTTAACAGAGCTGTGTTGCTGCTTTCCTTGATGTTGTGATTGGGGGCCGTGCAGTGGAGACCCCTCCAATGTCCTCCGTTAATCTTCTGGAAGGGTTGAGCAGAACTGTGGTTTATATAACCTACAGTCAGCTTATTACTCTGGTAATGGCTTTATTCTTTAATAGGATTTTCTCAGAAGTCATTTATCTAAGTATGGGCAGAGTCACAGATGAGTAGATTGTGTGAGAAATATATATTGCATTTGAAAAATTGATTTCACCAGCTAATGTCCTTTTACTTTTGCCAGGTGAATTTTATGAAGAGTGTGATGTCTGGAGATCAACTGAGAGAAGACAGAATGGCTCTTGACAATTTATTGGCAAACCTACCCCAGGCAAAGCCAGGAAAAAGCAGCAGCTTGGAAATGACTCCCTATAACACTCCTCAGCTGTCTCCAGCCACCACTCCAGCAAATAAAAAGAATCGATTGCCTATAGGTAAAGAGACTTCTCATGTTGGGGCTGTCCCTTAAAGTCAGTATTTCTTTATTAGCCTTTGTTATTGCTTGGTGTTTTGGAATATAGTTTTAAATAATTTGGAAACGTCTTTCTCTTCATGTTTACTGATAGTAATTCAATTTTTTACAATTGCACCAGATTAGTTAAGGTTTTAGCAGTAGGCTTTAGCTTTATCTAAACATGCTTTTCATAATTTATTGAATTCATGCCCCCTACAGTACACTTTGTTTATATTTTAGTGTTTTTTCTTGGAAAAACTTGAGTGTCATTTGTTAGAAGTAGTCAGTATTTGAATTGTGTAGCCCTGTCCTTTCTACAAAGTTCTAAATAATATAATAAAATAAAACTTATGAAATTTCTGTTGGTAAAGTTGAAAATACATAGTTACTATTTTTCCGCTGTTGTTATTAATAATCAGTCTTTTATCAGCTGAGCTAAGATAGCTTTGTTATTTTATAAAATAAAGTAAAGCTTCCA